AAATTGACCTAAGTTATATCGACTTCAGTTATGTAACTCATTTGCTCCATCTTGGTTCATCAGGAATACCAGCACACAATTTTCCTCCTTGGAGACTGGATCCCACTATTGACCTCAGTGTTGCCCCTTTTTGACCTGAGCAGCTAGCCAAAGTTTTAGGACCCTCTGAATGTTCCAGTTGGAAGTAGAAATTGATGGAGTCTAGTATTTTCTTTGATGCAGTTTTGTTTATTTACAAAAAATGGACAAAGTCCTGAAACTGTGAACCCAGAAGGAATCAAATAGCAGGAAACAGCTTCCTTTGCTCACAGCACTAAGAACATGCTTTTCAGCCTGCTCCCCTGACCAAAAACCTCTCCCCAGGTCTCTTTCAGCTGCTCCTTTAGACTCTCTCTGACTTCCTCAGTTTTTCTGTTCTGCCTTCCTCCCTCACTCTCCCACCCCCCTGAAAAGAATAATTAGCCAAAAGCCCTGGGGTGGGTTCATACACTTTTTGTCTTAGGTGGAAGTTTTAACTCAATCTATAACAAAGTTCTCCCCAGCTCATAACAATCATAGAATCATAGAATCTTAGGGTTGGAAGGGACCTCAGGAGGTCATCTAGTCCAACCCCCTGCTCAAAGCAGGACCAATCCCCAACTAAATCATCCCAGCCAGGACTTTGTCAAGCTGGGCCTTAAAAACCTCTAAGGAAGGAGATTCCACCACCTCCCTAGGTAACCCATTCCAGTGCTTCAACACCCTCCTAGTGAAAATGTTTTTCCTAATATCCAACCTAAACCTCCCCCACTGCAACTTGAGACCATTGCTCCTTGTTCTGTCATCTGTCACCACTGAGAACAGTCTAGATCCATGCTCTTTGGAACCCCCTTTCAGGTAGTTGAAAGCAGCTATCAAATCCCCCCTCATTCTTCTCTTCTGCAGACTAAACAATCCCAGTTCCTTCAGCCTCTCCTCATAAGTCATGTGCTTCAGCCCCCTAATCGTTTTTGTTGCTCTCCGCTGGACTTTTTCCAATTTTTCCACATCCTTCTTGTAGTGTGGGGCCCAAAACTGGACACAGTACTCCAAATGAGGCCTCACCAATGCCAAATAGAGGGAAATGATCACGTCCCTTGATCTGCTGGCAATGCCCCTGTGACGAAGTGGGACTGTTCTTAATGTTTCCTCTGAATACTGTGTGGGTGCCTCAGTTTCCCCAATGCATTTCTTAAGTCTCTAGGTGGTGGGGAAAGGCCAGTGTGCATAAATCACTGACACTCTGTCTCCCTGGCAACAAATGGCCAGGGCCCTTCCCCCACTGCAAGGAAATAGCTAAAGGTGAACAAAGAGATCAGTTGACCTCCTGGCCCAGGAAAGACACAAAGCCGAGAGAAGGAGGGCCTGGAGGGGGTTTGAGAGTTGGAGCTAGCTGGGGACTGGAAGGGAGGGCAGACCGGGGTCTGCCTCGCCGGGCCCCAGAATGGACCCGGCAGAGGAGTCCCGTTCGCTGGACCTACAAGCTCTGTTTTAGACCATGTTCCTGTCATCTAATAAACCACTGTTTTACTGGCTGGCTGAGAGTCACGTCTGACTGCGAAGTGGGGGGTGCAGAACCCTCTGGCTTCCCCAGGACCCCGCCGGGGCGGACTCGCTGTGGGAAGCGCACGGAGGGGCATATGCTGAATGCTCCCAGGAGAGACCCAGGAGGTGAAGCCGTGTGAGCTTCTTGCCCTGAAGACGGTCTGCTCCGAGGGAGAGGAGGCTCCCCAAAGTCCTGACTGGCTTTGTGGGGAGCAGTTCCAGAGCATCGCCCGGGGACTCCGTGACAGCCCCTACTTATACAGCCCAAAATGTGTTAGCCTTCTTGGCAACAAGGGCACACTGTTGACACAACTTCTCGTCCACTGTAACCCCTAGGTCCTTTTCTGCAGAACTGCTGCCTAGCCATTCGGTCCCTAGTCTGAAGCAGTGCATGGGATTCTTCCATCCTAAGTGCAGGACTCTGCACTTGTCCTTGTTGAACCTCATCAGATTTCTTTTGGCCCAGTCCCTCTGTATCCTATCCCTACCCTCCAGCATATCTACCACTCCTCCCAGTTTAATGTCATCTGCAAACTTGCTGAGGGTGCAGTCCACGCCATCCTCCAAATCATTAATGAAGATATTGAACAAAACTGGTCCCAGGACCGACCCTTGGGGCACTCCGCTTGATACCGGCTGCCAACTAGATATGGAGCCATTGATCACTACCTGTTGAGCCCGACGATCTAGCCAGCTTTCTATCCACCTTATAGTCCATTCATCCAGCCCATACTTCTTTAACTTGCTGGCAAGAATACAGTGGGAGACCATATCAAAAGCTTTGCTAAAGTCAAGAAATAACACATCCACTGCTTTCCCCTCATCCACAGAGCCAGTTATCTCGTCATAGAAGGCAATTAGGTTAGTCAGGCATGACTTGCCCTTGGTGAATCCAATGCAACTCCCCCACCTTTTCTGCCCTGCCTGTCCTTCCTGAACAGTTTATATCCATCCATGACAGTACTCCAGTCATGTGATTATCCCACCAAGTCTCTGTTATTCCAATCACATCATAATTCCTTGACTGTGCCAGGACTTCCAGTTCTCCCTGCTTGTTTCCCAGGCTAATTGCATTAGTGTGTAGGCACTTAAGATAACTGGCAGATCATCCTGCTTTCTCAGTATGAGGCAGGAGTCCTCCCTTCTTGCGCTCTCCTGCTTGTGCTTCCTCCCAGTATCGCACTTCCCCACTTACCTGGTCCTCAGGGCTTTGGTCTCCTTCCCCCGGTGAACCTAGTTTAAAGCCCTCCTCACTAGGTCAGCCAGTCTGCTTGCGAAGATTCTCTTCCCTCTTTTCGTTAAGTGGAGCCCGTCTCTGCCTAGCACTTCTCTCCGACACCACCTGCGTAGCCATTTGTTGAATTCCACGATTTGACAGTCTCTACCCGGGCCTTTTCCTTCCACAGGGAGGATAGACAAGAACACCACTCGCGCCTCAAACTCCTTTAACCTTCTTCCCAGAGCCACGTAGTCTGCAGTGATCGCTCAAGGCCATTCTTGGTAGTATCATTGATGCACACGTGGAGAAGCAGGAAGGGGTAGCGATCCGAGGGCTTGATGAGTCTCGGCAGTCTCTCCGTCACATCGTGAATCCTAGCTCCTGGCAAGCAGCACACTTCTCCGTTTTCCTGGTTGGGACGGCAGATAGATGACTCAGTCCCCCTGAGGAGGGAGTCCCCAACTACCACCACCCACCTTCTTCTCGAGCGGTGGTCATGGAACCCCCCATCCCTAGGACAGTGCATCTCATGCCTTCCAATCAGTGCTAATACTTGAAATGTTACTGTGAGAAGAGCTGCCCCAAAGGGAATCCTGTTTAATTCATTTGGCACAGACTGACATTTAAAAACCATCCTGAATTTCAAAAAGCTCTTGAGTTTTTAACAAAATTGATATGCACTGGCGACTCCCCCTCTCATTACTGCAGGGTGTGCACAACACATGGCTTCCCCTCTACCTTTGGCACAAAGTTGTTTCTTTTTAAATGTGGTTTTGCAGAGATCTTTTGTTGGGCTTTAAAATAGAAGGTAAAACAAACTCCCAGAGTCCGAACAGCATTCAGCTGGTTGTCTTGCATTTGTTTTTAAGTGGCTGCGAATGAAACATTGCAAATGTGGTTCACTTTGGAATGTTGAGTGACTCTCTTGCAAAATTCATGGCTTGGGATTGTCTGGAGGAGGAAGAACTGGCCTACAGTATCTCAGCTGCTTGGCAGACACTCTTCTTTTCTTTCCAGAAGTGCTGAGTATACTGAGCAAAGAGGTCTGCTTGCTCTGAATAGTTGGGTATTTGAATGGAGTGTAAACAGGCCTGTGGTCAATAGTATTTTATGTTTCTTCAGTTGTTTACATTATGGTAGTGCCTAAGGCCTCAACTAAGAGCAGTGGCTCATTGTGCAATGTGCTGTAGATATGTAGCAATAGGCAGTCCCTTCCCTGAAGAGCTCATAATATTTGTCTTCAAAGAGCTTTACATGCATGAACTATTTAACCTGCCCAATACCCCTGTGACTTAGGGCAGTGTTATGGTTCCTATTTTATAATTTAGGGAAGCTGAGGCACAGAGAGGTGAAGAGATTTGTTCACGGTTATGCACGGGGAGTCAGTAGCAGAGCCAAGAATCCAGGAATTCCTGTCTCCCAGTCCTGTAGTTGTATTGTATCTTTCTTTCAAGTGGTATCAGTAACTGGTTAGTTGTCATTCATCCATCTGAAAGATGTATGAGGAGATGGGAAGCTTTTTGAAACTTAGGAACATAAAAATTGTCATACTAGATCAGTCCAATGAATCCATCCAACTCAATATTCCCACACTTCATGCTTTGTCAGACCAGTGGGACTACGTAGTCCAGTATCCTGGCCTCCTTCCATCAGATTAAGTCCATTTAGCATATTACTCCCACCACTGAGCTACATCAGCTCAGATCAGTGACTGACCAGTGTCCAGTACCAGATGCATCAGAGAAAGGTGTAAATTCTACGTAATAGGCAATTCTGCAGGAGCATACTTATGGGGGAAGGGTGAGATGTTAAAAAGCACCTACGTGGAAGCTCCTAAACCACTTAGGCACTTTGGAAAGTCTCACTTGATGTTTCTTCCCAACCCCAGGCACTTAGTGCTTGGTTTAAGACATGAAGGTTGGTCTAATTTACAATTATTTATCCTCACTAGCATAACTATGGATTATATTCTTGTTTGCATAAATATCTATTTTTTTTGTATCCTCCTGATCTCTGTGACTCATGCATACACATTGACTTGTGGAACTCAGTGCCAATCATGGAAAAGCAGAATTCATTTCGAAAGCAGTGATAATTTTAAAGGTTACTAGTGCTCCTTGAAATACATACTGAACTTCTCCAGCATAACTAAAAATGACTGATCTTGACTAAGATTAAAAACAAACTAACTTTTTTTTTATTAATCTGTTTTATACAGTGTTTGACTGGAAATGTTGTAAAACCTGGATTATGAATGGCAAAGTCAGGGAATGGAAGTTCATACTCCTCTGCTGAGTTGACAAGTTTCATCTTCAAGAAAATTTAGAACAGAACAAATTGACTTGTGAAGCTGTGTGCTCCTAATCTCAGCCTCCACTGGGAACATGTCACTAGTCCAACTTCTTAACACGTCTCCATTCAGCCTCATCAAATATGAATCACCCTGGATTTAATACATTTTGTTGATTCCGACTTTAAGAGTTTAAGCTTATTTTTCTAAGACAACAGATTTACTGATGAACTCTCAAAAGACATCACAAGTTGAATTACTTGGGGTCATTTTGTTATCTGTGACGTATCCAACAAACTTTAGAAAGAGAAACTGTGAGTGGCTGGAATTAATTCCCTGAAGCATGTTGACAGTGAGAACTTTTCTCCTACATGTTACTACTCCATTTCCAAACATCTCTTTATAAAAAATGGCAGAAAACATTTAGATTATTTTTAAACCTGTTTTTTAGGATCCAAAAAGATACCCTCATCTGAGGGATTATTTTGATGGACTTTGCCAGGCCAGCTCTGAATAGTAAAGTCTTTAGTAATCGGCAAGATGTCCACTAAGGTCCCAATCTACCTGAAAAGAGGCAGTAGGAAGGGCAAGAAGGAAAAACTCCGAGATATCCTTTCTTCTGATATGATCAGCCCCCCCTTGGGAGACTTCAGACACACTATTCACATAGGGAGTGGTGGGGAGAATGATATGTTTGGGGATATTTCTTTCTTGCAAGGGAAATTCCACCTTCTACCAAGGACTGAAGGTAGCCTAGATTCTGACAGGGGCAGCCACTGTGGAGTGCCATTTGAGTTCTCAAGGACTGCTACTATCTCTGGTCATGAGCAACCATTTTCTGAAGCTCCCTCGCCACTCTTAAAGAATGCCATCTCACTGCCTGTCATTGGGGGTCCACAGGCTCTAATGTTGCCCTCTACCCAGGCCCCACCAAAGCCACCAAGGCTGCACCTTGATGATAAAGTTCAACCAGCTCTGCAAGGCAAGGAAGCTGTGGCAGAACTGACTTCATCCAAGGACAGCAGGACTTCTGAACCTATCCCTCATCTCTGCAGCCCCAATGAGCTGTTTGCCATCCCTCAGAATGGGTTTGTTGAAGAGAAAAATAAGAATGAGTCCTTTATGTCCCATGCTGGTTCCCTGCTCTCCCTCCATGTGGATCTGGGGCCTTCTATCTTGGAGGATGTCCTTCAGGTCATGGATAAACACCAAGCTGGGAAAGTGATACAAGATTCTGGCAGGCAAGAAATCCTGACATGAAAACTAAAGGGACTTCCGTGGGGAAAGACTTTAAAATGTAGAGTTTTGTAGATAAGAATTTTTCCCCCAATGTGGAATATGGTTAACTGGGCCAGCTTGAATTAGTGAATTTTATCCTGTGTGGAATCCCAATTGCGCATCTTATAGTAATAGGGTATTAAGCTTTTAGGAGTGTGTTGCTTACTTTCACCAATGCCCATCATACTGACGTTTTTTTTTATGTTGCTTTCTGCAGGCCTTTGAATGCTGCTCAGTACTGAAAAATGTATGAAACTAAGATAAGTTCAGTAGCAGCAATAAATTGCCACTTAGCAATAAGACCTCTAACTTTACTGATATGAATAAATTTTAAGGGATATGACATTTTTTTAAAAGGACTGTGTCATTTTAAACTATTTGTAGTGGGTGTGGTGTGAATAATGCTGTGGAATATCAAGAGTTTAATTCAAAAGGATCCTGGTTCAGATTGAGAGACTATTTTACACAGAACTTTGTTAAAGTAGAGCCTGTGAGAGATGCCATATTGCTGAGGTCCTTGTTAAAGGAAAAAAAGATGTAGACTGGAATATAACCACATTAGCATTGTAATCAAGATTCACTGTCCACATTAGTCATGTAACTCACCCACAGATGTAGTACAACTCAATCAAGTTGACCCATGCTGTTCTAAATCAAACTGTCTTCCTATCTGTATTTACTGTTTGAAAACCTGACCACTTGCTGTTTGCCAGATAACTTGAATTGTCAAATGGACTATAAGCAATTTTTTTTAACCTCTTAATTGAATTTTTAAAAGAACCTGCCACTTTACCAGTAAAGCAACTAGGAAAAAAATCCATTTGGCTTTGATGATGATCCTTCTTTATAAAAAAGCTAGGAGTAAAAATTAGCAGACTGTATAGTTATGCCTATGACTGCTAAAATAGAGTCAATGGTTAGAAGTTGAAATCATCATACTTCAAGCTGGAAATAAGATGAAAGTTTTCAACAGCAAGAATAATTAACCACTGGAACAGATTACCAAGGGATGTGGTAAATTCTCCATTACTTGGAGTCTACAAACTGAGAGACACTCTAATTCAACCACAAATTGTTGAGCTTGATGCAGGAATTTGTGGGGACATTTTTTAGCCGGTGTTATGCAGGATGATGATGGTCCCTTCTGGCCTTAAAATTGATGGAAATCTAAATTCTGCTGGCATTAGAACTGCAGAAATAGCCAAGACAACAGATGGTTCTATTTGCTCAAGTGGGTCATATTTTCAAAGTTGCCTAAAAGATTTGGACTTCCACTTCCCATTAAAATTCCCTAGGTGGTTTTAAATGTCAGCCCTTGCTCTTATTTATTTATTTATAATCCTTTAGTACCTCGGTAGGAACTCCAGTCTATCTCAATACTTGTGTGTCGCTCATCATTAATGGACTTTATCCTTGTAGCACTCCTGTGATGTAGGGGAGCATTGTCCCCATTTTATAGCTGGAAGAACTGAGACAAAGGATAGATCAATGGGCAGATTTTTAAAGGCATTTAAGTTCCTTGGGCAAGGTCACACAGGGAATCCAGGGCTAAGCCAGGAATTGAACCTAACACTCCAGAGTCTCAGTCTAGTAGCCATTCTTCCACCCAGTCAAATATCAAGGCACCATGGTGCTAGGTATTATACAGACATTTTTATACAGAAGCCCACTTCTGCCTCCACAATTTTACTAGGTAAGTACTGGATAGGACACACAACTGAGTGGGTAGAGAGGATGAGGGAATAATAAAAGAAACAGCATGTAGCAGAGAAATAATAATCTCCACTTGTAGGTGTCATGGCAGAGGTAGGATATAAGGAGGGACTTAAAAGACTGCTCAACTAATCTGTGGGGGATGCCTTGTTGAAACAATATAGAATAATTCAGACTTGCATAGTTTTTTGGGCTAGGAATGTAAAAAGAGCCTGCTGGAGTTGGACACCCAAATCCATCTGAAATTTAATAGGAATTTGGTGCCTGACTCCCTTAAAATCCTTCCAAACGCCCAGACTTGGGGTATGAGAGAGGACATAGTATAAGCACCTATCACTATCAGATCCCTTTGACTCCAGGGTTCTAGTCTCATCTCCGGGAGGGGAATGTAGTTTAATGCTTAGGGTAAGGGAACTGGGAGTCAGGACTCTTGGGTTCTATTCCCAGCTCTGGGAGGAGGGTGTTGTCTTGTGCTTAGAAGCAGTGAGGACCCAGGACTCAGCGCTGTTCCTAGCTCTACCACTGATTTACTGTGTGATCTTGGACAAGTCACAACTCTCTCTTCCTCAGTTTCCCCATCTATAAAATAGGGATAAAAAAAAATGCCTTCCCTTCACCACACAGATATCAAGGTTTGATGTATGTAAGAACCCACTGGCTTAAAGGCAGTAATTAAGTTCAAAGCATCATAATTCATGGACATTTCTGGCAGCCTCAATTCACAGTTTAAGATATGTACCCTTAAGGAATTACGGTGCCCTGACCTTCTGTTCCTCCCTCTGCATCAGAATATGTTTTTCCTACAACATCTCAATGTCACTGATTTTCTGTTTTGTACAGAGTGTATCATTTTGTTTAATCTTTTCTAGAGGGGAATAAATAATGACTCATTAAACTAACAAGCTCTCATCTTGTCACTGCACAACTGTCTCAGCTCTTGTTTATGCTGCCCATCTGTTTCTGTTGGGAGGCTTTACAAAGGAGACAAATGTGTATGTGATTAAGGTGCCTTATAAGGCAATGCTGCCTGAGAGAAGCAGCAATTTTGGTTTAAATAAGTGTTTTGATAACTTTTCTAGCCTTCAGGCTGCAAAACAGATAAACTGGACCAAATTCAGCCTGGAGTATGTGGGAACACTCCCATGGGAGTCTCTGGATTTCATTCTGGTCTGACTTTACACCAGTTTTAAATCCAGGGGGCCAGATTCTGAACTGGTGAAGTCAACAAAGTTCCACTGAGAATCTAGCCCTCTGTCTGCAGTGGAGTTACTCCTGATTTACAGTGATGTAATGGAGACCAGAAGAAGGTCCTCTGTGACTAATTAAATGGGGATAAAAGCTGTTTTTTTTCCCCTAGCAGTGCTTAAGGGTCACCAGTTAAGGATCTGGGCCCCAAAGGTGCTGTATAACCATCTAACAAAAAGACTGTCCCTGCCCAAAACAGCTTGCAAGCTCAGTGGGTGTAAATAACTACACAAAGTGCAGGGCAATGGAGGGGCTGGCCTCTGGGGTGTAAATCTGTCAGAAGTCTTAAGAGTTGGAATTCCATGGGATGGAAAACAAGTATGACTTACACTTCCAGGGGTCAGAAAGGAGTGTAATTGCACTGCTGTTTTCAGGATACCTTATATGCCATGTCAAATCCATAGCTGGTATAAAGTGGCATGGATCCATTAAAGACAATGGAACTACACTGACTTACACTTGTCAGGGATCTGGCCCTATGTGTGATTTATACCACTGTTGAATTTGGCTCCCCGTTCTCCATGCAGCATACTGTTCATCCTATCCTGTGTTGATACATAGATGGCCCACATCTCCAGGGTATCTGAGCACCTCACAATCATCAATGAATGTTTATCCTCATATCCTGTGAGATAAAGAAATATCCCCATTTTATAGTGGGGGAACTGAGACACAAAGTACATTAAGTGACTTGGCCAAGGTCATGTCTGTGGCTGAGCCAAGAATTGAACCCAGGTCTTCTACATCCCAGTCTATGGCCCTATTCAAGTGATTAGACCATCCTTCCTACCCTACAACCATCCTTCTGTTTATTTTCAGATGGCAAAACATCTCAGCAAACTGCCTACTACATTCTGACCTCTTTTGGCTGCCACCAGTTTCCAGGGTCACATTGAGGCTTTAGGGTAGACGCTCACTACAAATGCTGCAACCAGAAGAAGAAAAACAGGTCCCCTGACACACTTGCAGAGTTCATCCTTCACGTTAACCCACATCTGAGTGTATTAGGGTATGGTCTGTCTGTCTCAGTATGGGGCCACCCCACTTTTTCTGATATTGTCCTACATAAAAGTGAGTACAAATTGTTAGTGCTCTGGGGAAGTATTTTATACCTGCTTTGCATTGGTGCAAATGACTACACAAGCTGCAGGCAATGCAGAATCCTGTTTGGTATGCCTAATGTGCCTATCACCATGGTATCTGGACTCCATCTCTTCTGTTTAGATTATCCTTCTTACACAGAATACTCAATCAGGCATCACTCCAGGAATTTCCAGGCACTAGAGAGTATGAATGCCAATTAACACTGTTGAGATTTTGGAGGAGGCAGGGAGGATGAATTCAGATTTAGAATGCAGGCCTCTACAATTTTACCTTTGCAGTAATTTGCTTTATCCAAGATCAATCTCTGTCTGTCAGTATGTCTCTCCTCCCTCTCTCATGAGGTTAACTTTATTTTCTAGCATACTAAAGCTGTTGTTCAGCCAAACAATTCCAAGAAAAATTCTGGAATGGACCATATTTTTGAGTGCAGAGCAGATCTGCTAATGGGCAGCTCTGCTTTTCTATTGCTGCCCATAATCCTCGTGGGGGCTTTGTGTCCATGGCGACAGCACAGTGGCATTTGTTTCCATGGATTTCACCTTAGTTGGCACATCAGAGTGAATGCACAAATAGATTTTAGCCTGAAACTAAAGTGTTTGGAATCCACCTCCCCCACCACGCCCCATCCTTGGAAGCATCAGAAATCTGCACTGACTGGTACAAAATAACCCTTACCAAGAAGGACATACTAGCACAAAGGATCAGACTCTAGGCATCAGTCTTCCCAGCTGTCAGAATTGTCTGTCCCATGTTAAAACTTCTTGAACAGATACAACTTAAAATTCCAAATAGCATATGACTTTTTGCAATCAGTCTTAAAAGTTGCTTCACTGTTAAAATTAATTCCTTCCGCTGTTAGTGACGAATTAGGAATATAGGATTCATAGCATTAATATATCAAGTCTGGTATCCAACCTCCTGTTATACTGTATCAAATCAATGATCCATCTAGCTTAATAGCCCCATCACTCCCTGCTGCACTGGATCAGACCAAGGGGCCAAAGTATCCTGGTATCCCCATCTCAGGTCAGACCAATGGGTCCATCTAGTCTGGTCTCCTTGCCTCCTTGTTACCCTGGACCAGATCATTGGTCCATCTAGTTTCGTATCCTGCTGCCAAAAGAGCCCATTAGCTGATGCTTGTGAAGAAGGGAAACCCAGCCTGCCCCTTGTATAATGTTCTATTAGGTGTGGAGGACTGGAAGGCATGGAATCCCTTCTGACTTTTGCTGTGATTATTTCATTAGAAACTTCCATTTTCAGAGCTTTATGTCTTAGCTATAGAAAACATGTTTAATCATTTTAAGATTATCCATCTGTAAAAATAATGACCAGCTTAAAGGAATCCCGCTAATAAACTGAGGTAAAAAAAACTTGGCTCGTTATAAACAGGTATAATTGGTACTTTGCACTGTAAATATTAATTTTTGTTAACCACACAGCCACACTTTGATAACAATTAAAAACAAGAAATGTCAGCCATGATTTGCA